AAAGGAAATCAACCCTGAGTGCTTCCTGGAAGGACAGATCCTGAAGCTGAGGTTCCAATACTTCGGCCATCTCATGAGAAGAGAAGACTCCCTGGAAAAGACCTCGATGTTGGGAAAGTGTGACGGCAAGAGGAGAAGGGGACGACAGAGGATGAGATGGCTGGACAGTGTCATCAAAGCAACCAAGATGAAATTGACACAACTCTGGAAGGCAGTGGAAGACAGGAGGGCCTGGCATGCTCTGGTCCATGGGGTCACGAAGAGTTGGACACGACTAAACGACAACGACTCAAGTCTTATCTGTGGCTTGAACTATGCCAAGGAGAAATGTATTGCTGGTCTATATCTTTCATGTGTGTAAAAACATAGATACTAATCACGAGACATTCTTTTCAGAAAAGAAGCCAGAGGTACCACAGAGCTTGATGGGAATGAGCTTCATCCGTGTGCTTGAATGAGCTCAGGAGATGGCCCTGTTTTTTCCTTTCCCTTGCACACGTAAATGGGTTTTGGCTGATTGCTCATAAAAGCAAATGCTCCTCCATGCACTAAATCCCTACCGAGGTTCTAGTTTTTATCCAGTCATTATATGGAACAACTGAGCAATCAGAAAGTCGTTTCAAGGTGCCGTTAGTGCCACAGGGCAGTTAAGGCTGTTCTCCTTTTCTGTAGGTGTCCTAAGAAAGTAGCCTCAGTGTGGTAAAATAGATAGAATGATGGACTGGGATTCTAGACGCCAGGGTTTGACTCCCCGTTTGGCCATGGAAACTCAGTAGATAGAACGATGGACTGGGATTCTAGATGCCAGGGTTTGACTCCCCATTTGGCCATGGAAACTCACTGGAGGAGCAAAACTAGTAAAGCCACTCCTTAAATATCTCCCTTACCTTGAAAGCCTATTAGGGTCCCTATATCAGTTCTGACCTGATATAACTAGCAAACTAAAAAGGCAATGTGTTGTGAACTGGAGCTTCAATTTATTTAAATGTTTTCAACTCCATCCACCTGCTTTCCCCTGCAAGAGTGTACACTGGTGAATAAAGTTCCTTTAGTAGGAGGATCACATCCAAATGTAATAAACTGTATTGCTCACTGTAGGTTTTGGAGGCGTAGGGAGATGAGAAATTGGTATGTACCACATTCTAATGGTTTGGTTATGAAGCTAGTAAAGAGTTTTGTCCTCAAGTACACTGCAATATTTTATATATTTACTACTTGGTCCTAGATCAGTGGTTCCAACCTTGGGTCCCCAGATGTTCTTGGACTAAAACTTCCAGAAGCCTTCACCACTACCTGTATTGGCCAGGATTTCTGGGATATGTATTCCAAGAACATCTGGGGATCCAAGGTTGGGAGCCACTTTCCTAGATGGCTGTCAACACGCCACTATGACTCTTTTTACTGGGCCATTATTGTAAGATGAAAACTATTCCTACAGCTCAGCATTCAGTGGCAGACCATCTCCTGAAGAACTGCTTGCCATAAAGTCCTGGAACACAACGCCACTTTTTCTCTGCTTTTTCCATATGTTCCAAGTCCACTTCTTTGATTTGCTTATTAAATCCCAGCACCCTGTAATGATCTTGTGCAGCACAAAAAACATTTTCATAGATTTTTATTTAAATTTCACTTAAATAAAACCCTTAATTAGAAAAACAAAACGTTAAAAATTGTGAACTTGAAAGATACACACAAAGTGCAAGGGGAACTGGACGGAGGAAAGGAGAACAGCAGTTCCAGTTAGATTAGGAGGATCTGTTGTGGGCTCTGCCCCATAAACGACACCTTGTGCCCATATTCAGCAGAGTGAGACCGCTATAGCAGCTAAGGAATGGAGTTTTCAACCCCACCCACCCCAGCACACACATAATTAAACACCTTCATTATAGAGAAAATGCACCCAAAAGCTGACACCACACAACTTTTACACACTTACATTAATAATGGCAACTTGAACGATCAAGGGTCAAAAAGTTCACCCACAGGAAAGGTGACAAAAATGTAGAGGTCACAGTGGAAAGGTCAAAAACAGAGTTCAAGAATTCAGAGGTGAAGTTGCACAATTTGGAGCTCACAGGGCACAGGTTTAGAAGACCATTCTTTCAAAAGGTTCAAGATGAAAAGGTTAAATCAGCATTCAAGAGGTCACAGTTGAGAGGTCAAAAGGCCACAGTGGAAAAGAAAACAGGCAAAAGTTGCAAGACCACCACAGACTGGAGTTCAAGATTCATCACAGAAGGGTCACACATCTAAAACGTCAAAGGTCACCATGGAAAAGCCAGTGCTCAAGTGTCCCTGAGGAAAGTTAAAAAGATTTCAATGGTTGTGATGAAGAGGTCACTTCATGAGGAAGATCCAGTGGAGAAGATTCCCTGGTTAAGGGCCACAAGTTAAAGAGGTCATGGTGGAAGGACACAACAGGCAGTGCTGCCAGGCCAAATTTCAGAGGCATCCCCTCCCCGCCACACACACACAGAGACACCAGGAAATGTTCAATACATAAGGTTCTGAAAACCCAGAAACCCTGACTTCAAGCTTGATCATCCTGCCCAGAAGTCCATGAGAGAAGAAGATAATGTTAAGCTACAACACAATTCTTGTCCCGGACAACCCGTAGTCTTCGGCGTTGCTTGTTAAGTGTCGAGTCAGTGGATGGTGCAGTCTCTACAGGGTTGGTTCCACCTCGGAGGTGGGGTGGCAAGGGTATAGGCTCCCCCAGAAAGTAGCCTTCTTCCTCGGAGGAGGAATCCGAGGAATCGGAAGAGCTGAAGTCCCATCCCCTAGGGGGGTAACGTCGATGCCAGGAAGGAAAAGCACCTTCAGAAGCTGAATAGGAGAGATGGCCTCTCCTCCCCTCCCTGACGCCCTTCCTTGGCCTCCAGCCCGGGTTCCCCAAGTTGAGAGAGTTGTCTGAGGTGGAGCGAGGGTGTCCCCTGCCGGCATCTCTGTTCTGAAGTAGCTTGGGATCGGTGGACGCCTGCTCAGGACGAGGGTTGCTGGGCTCTCCTGAGACTAAAGGGTCCCGAAAGCTTACTCGAGGGACGCCTTCCCGTGCAAAGCTCCCTGTCCCCAGCTCCGCTCCCTCACTGAGTCGCAGGCGGGGAGGTGCTTGAAGCTTGGAAGCAGAACTGCTGCTCCAGTCAGAGGGCTTAGAGGTGGGGATACCCAACTCGGGCATGGAGTGGCGCAAGGGAGAGGCACGCTGGAAACATGGCCGAGTGTCGGCACCTGGGGAACAAACAAAACAGAGAAAGTGAGGCCCACACCCTAAACTTAAAAGACTCCCCCACTGACCCCATATATTTGTGACAGTGATGCTCTAATTGGTTCTTCCAAACCTGTTCCTGGTTCGCCGTCATTGACCGGAGGTGGGCAAGTGGACGTTCCCCTGGAAGTACATTTCACAGGTTCCTCACAGCTATGGCTACAGGCAGAACCGTTACTATCTGGATCAGAAAGCTCCTCCGCGTCGGTGGGCATCTCCTCCCCAGCACCAGACAATCCGCTCCAGCTCCTTCGGATTTTGGGGGCTGAGTTAGACAGCGTCGGCTGCCCTCCAAAGGAAACGGAACGGGCAACCTGAGAGGACATGGAGCGCTGGGCCTGAATGCGGCGCTGCTGCCAGCTGGCCCGTCGAGAATCCTGGGAACGGGCGCTCTGGAAAGCGGAGTCGCAGGAGTCTGAGCCATTGGGGTCTTCGCCCAGGCTGCAGGCCCGGGAGCAGAAGATCTGGCCCTGCTTGGGCAGGAAAGGCTTCCCGAGGAGAGGCTGATGGCAGCGGGAACAGCTGAAACAGGCATCGGTGGCGTGCCAGTGCTGGCCCTCATAGGTCATCTGGCCCTGGTCGATACCTGCAATGAAGGGACAAAGCCAGACTGTCGGAGTGCTTCCTTTCAAAAAAAAACACAATGGTGGAAGGTCATCCAAGTTCTATTGTGGGTGCAGGAAATTCACTACACTTGACACAGCTGCAGGGTTCAAAAGAATCCCCAGGCAAACAAGCCATTTCTGGCCCAGACGCCTTCTCCCACCCCGCTTCATCTCAAAATACGTGCAAACTGACTGTGATGGCTCACCAGGAACAGAATTTTACTTTCTAAATTATTAAAAAGTAACATCAATCAAAAGCATACCATTTTCAGACTCTGAGCCCTAACACTACAATCACATTACAGAGAACAGCCTTGCCTTGACCCCTTCATACTCCAAGAGCAATTTTACATCTTCATTTTTTTCCCCCCCAAAAAAAAAAGTTTTAAAAAGGTTTTTTGGAGGGATGTGGAGCCTGGATTTTGCCCCTTAGGGGGTGGATGCATGCAGTCTACCCTGAACTATCATTTGAAAAGAGATTTTGAGATATCCCCTCTCGCTTTGGCCAGGGCTGGGAGGGATTTCATCTCTGCTTTCTAATTCTTGACCTGGGCAGTGGGAATGAAATGGGGGAGCTCTGAACCACATAAGACAAGCTGCAGTTGTTCTCTTTTGTTGTGTTCCAGGGAAGAACACAGATAGGTATAAGCCTGGCAAATGTCCTGTTTTGGCAGAATTTTTTTTTAAAAAAACAACAACCTTAAAACATTGTAAAATCAACTATAGAAAGACTGAAATGATCCTTACAAATAACGAAACAAGACAGGCAGCAACATAAAGGTTACTAGACATATCATGTGCCTCTCCTTCCTCTTCCTGTGGTCTCAACTGATGGGGGAGGATCTCCCCAAAAGCTTTCCTAAAAAGCTATGTTTTCAGCAGCTTTTTAAAAGTGCAAAGGCAGGGTGCCTGATGTAACTCTTCCAGTAGAGGGCGCCACTGCTGAGAAGGCCCGGTTTCTATGCTTTCCAGGCCTCTCGAAGTGTCAACACCAGCAGACAAGGAGGTCTGTGAAGGCCACATCAGATGAGCAGCCAAACTTGGCAGAAGATATTCAGACGAGGAAAGACCTATCCCACACTTAATTTAGAAAGGGGGCAAAAGTGCATATTCTGTTAAACATATGGTTGTAGTTAACTTTTCTAAGCTTAATTTTTAACAACACCTCTGGGAGGGCAGCAATCAAAATTAAAGCTGCAAGAAACAAGGACACATGCATGTTCAAACCACACACACACCTCCACTGAAACTCCTGATCCACCCCCTCTGCACTGTGAGGTCTACCCATGCAAGACTGTTATCCCTGGATGTCTGACAGAATGTATAGATGTTTCTCCTAAATGGCTCCTGTGGGGCAGCCAATGGTTTTCCATCTGGGCAAGGGATGTGTTTTGGGCCAAAATTCCTGTAAGCCCTGACTCCTGGTCATACGGAGTGGAACCAATAAGAGCTGTAGGCCAAAGGCCTCCTCCACCCTACTCCAGGCATGGATCAGGTCCACATTTTCTTAGCTTCCCTACGACTAGAGAAAACCTTGATCTGAGAAGACTCTAGGAACCTCTCCTTGTTTGCCATTCCCACGAATCTCCAATAATAACCCCCTTCCTCCCCCCCCCGCCCTGCAGGCACTGGCTCTCCATACCAATATGTTCTCCGCAAGCATCACAGTACTCTGCATAGAGGCTCTCATAGCAGCGGCAACAGTAGGGGCGGCTCTGGCGCATGATGTACCGTTGTCCACCAAGAGCCTCTTCACACTCAAAGCAGCAGAAATGGCGCATGTGCCAGTGGCGGCCCTCAGCTTCTGTGCACTCATCTGCAAAGATAATCTGGGCAGGGGAAACAGTGGGGAAAGGAGAACATGAAGTCCACAGAAAATGGCTGCCCACAACTTTAGTTCTGCAAAAGAGATCCACCTCTTCTCCTATTCGCAGCTCATGCCACGTACGCTACTTATTATCTCCTGCACACGAGTGGCAGGTGACTTGTGCCCCCAGCAGATCATGTTCAGCTCTTGCTCTCCCCAGCTCTCCCCTCTCTTCATCTCCCTTGTGATGTAGCCTACATTGGGCGTCACCCCACTAGCAACTTCGGCAAGGCAGATAAGTAAACAAATAAAAATGCTGTGGTCAATACAACTTAAAGAATTTGGAAATCGGCCTGTAATGGCAAGGGGAAGATAATATCAAAGGATAACTCAAAGAGGGATACATGCTCCTCTTTGTTTGCCCTCTGCAGCTTCAATCATCATCATCATCACCACTAATGACATCCATCAGGTGGTGAAACAGTTCATAGCTATATTTTTCTTATATTCAGAACCAGTTACAACCTGCCCTCCTAAATTATTTATTTCCAACATAACATCATTTGCTTCTTGAATCTGTGTTGCAAAATCTTTTGAGTCGCTGTCAATATAAAAAAAGAGGAAGTAAAAAAATTTTTCAAGTGTTCTAAGGTAACACAGATATGCTGTAGCACTAAAATAAATAAATAAATAAAAAAGACACAAAGGATCCCAACTGCAGGACTTTTCGTTTATAGAGATCTTGCAGTATGAAACAAATTTTCTTTAAAGAAGGTTTCCCCTCCAGTTCCAAACCCTGCCATGGGTGGCAATTCAAGCCCCTCACCTCATCGCAGGCCTCACAGCGCGGCTTGAGGCGCTCAGCGTGGTGCCGCCCGCAGTAGATCTTTCCCTCCTGGTAGAAGTAGATGAGGTCCACAAGGAGCTCCCGGCAGGTGGTGCAAACAAAGCACTGTGGATGCCAGCAAGCCCCATGCCCTGCTCGGCTGGCAAAGACCGCAATGTCTCCGCCACAGATCTGCTTCCCGCACTGCCAACAGAAGGACAAGTCAAATAACACTCAGAACAGATGTAGCATTTTTGCAAAGGATCCAAGGCACAGTGGACAGCTAACCTCAGTGACAGCTGCAGCCGTTCCTTAAGTCAAACCAGCATTGTTAGAAACGTGTGTAAGTTGCCAAGGCTAACTGATTAGGCCCTGGGGCACATCATGGTTGTACAATCATGCACATGACCAGATGTGTGTCCTGAGTCATCAATTTGTTACAGTAAGCTACTCAGATCTTACAGAAATACCTACAGGATTCTGCCCTATGCTTCAAATTCCTATGTTGATAAGCATCTGCTTGCCATATCTAAAACTTTTAAAAATTACTGCAAAATGTTTACTCTCTGCTTGGCACTAATGTTACCTTGTGCTGTAATGTGCTTGTGGGGTCAGCAGAGCATGATCAGGACGACGGGGGAGGGGGGCTGAGTCAGGGCATGTCCATTCTTCCCCCACATGCACTCACTGGCAGTCAGTCACACAAGCTGCTGTTGGGTCCTTCCACCTCTCCTGATGGCCATCTGGCTCAAATATTCTTTGAGGGGTGTGGAGGAGTGAAGGGCTGCTGCCAAGGAGTATTTTTTGGGGGGAAGGGGCCTTGCAATGCTCAAGACGTGGGTCTCCTCACAAGTCACAAACAATTTAACTGTAGACTGCCTTCCCTAAGGAAACATAACCTGTAACCAATCAGGCTGCCCACAGATATTTTTTGGTTTTCTCAGACAAGTTAGAAGGGCAAATGTGCTATGAAATGGCCTTGCCTGTGGCTGCTCTTTGTTTCTCTGTATAGTTCCCAGTGCAACTTATTTTGAATTTTATCTCATTTTAAATAATGAAGAAGTGAAGAGCAGATGAGTAAAGGTATGTAGGTGTATGTGTAAGAGAGAATTATCTGGATTTACAGATGAAAGCCAAGAGAACTAGGTGCTCATTTTGAACACTAGATGTCACTTTTGCTCCCTTATATTTGTTTTTATAACAGCTGAGCAGAACAACTCAATTTAGCAGAGGCACAACTAATCTAAACCCTAACTGAATTATGATTAGAATTCTGGAGGTAGCAGATACATATAGACTGAATTCTGTACAGCCTGGTCTTTTCCAAAAGTGTAACTCCTATGCATCCTCCAGCTCTTCATCTTTAATAACTGAAGTTCCTCTCTATCCCCTCACCAGTTTGTGATCACCCAGAGACAGAGGGTTCCTGACTCACCCTTCTGTCAACACCCACATCTTCAAATACAGTGGTGCTCTGCATAGCGACGATTAATCCGTTCCGGATTAATCGTCGCTATCCGGAAACATCGCAATGTGGGGGGGGGGAACCCCATAGAAACGCATTAAACTTCGTTTAATGCGTTCCTATGGGGCGAAAACTCACCGTTATGCAAAGATCCTCCATAGCGCCGCCATTTTCGCCGCCTCGGTAAGCGAGGAAATTGTGCGAAAATGGTTGCGGCAGCCATTTTGGGCACCCGGCGGCCATTTTGGAACCGCTGATCAGCTGTTCCACCAACATCGCAATGCGAAGATTAGTAAGCGAAACACTTACCGATCATCGCAATGCAATGTTTAGGCTATTAAAACATCGCAATGCGATCGCATTAGCGATCCCAAAAAATAGATCGCTATGCAGATTCGTTGTTAAATGGTGCGCTCGTTATGCGAGGCACCACTGTAAATGATGCAGATCAAGGCCAAGTAGGGACTCCATGAAGAGACTCAAAAATATACAGAACCCCCAAGTAGCAACAGCATTCCGTAATTCTGGCAACTCCTCTTTACACTGTCAGTCATACCCAGAGAACCACCTCACACTATTTTCAGTGATACCTAATTTCTCCAATGTAGATCAGCAAAGAGAATGTCTTTGACTTCTTGAATCCTCCCTGCAATGCAAAGAGTCCAAGAAGAAGCCAGGTAATGTTGCAGAAAGGTGGGCAGTAAAAGCACTAATGGCCAGTTAGTAATGATTGCAGGAGCTCTCAGAAATGCTCACTGTTCCAGTCATCCAGATTCTCACCACATGCAGTCTTTGATGTGGACTGGAGCCACGTCATGCACAGCAGAGCTAGGTGGAGACAGGCGTTCCTGACCAGCGCCCTCTGAATACTCCAAATTAGTAAACCAAGAATCTGTTCATGAAACATCCTGATAATCCTTATCCTTGCCAACAGATTACAACTCTGTTTCAAGAACCAGTGAAACAACCTCTCCTTCCAAAGAGGAACTTAGGGAGGTCACCCCTCAACTGTCCCTGGCCTTATCTAGATCTGTCCGTGACACCAAAGCTGCTGGGAGGGGAAGTAACTACATGAACCCAGAGAACCGCCTACAGATCTCCTGTGTCAGAACCAAGAGAAAGATCCTGAGCACCCAGACTTTCAGCAGTTGCCGTGTCACATGAAGGGAGCCCAAAGGTGAAAACCAATTAGGGAAGATAAATGCCGAGACATTAATGACATCAATTCATTGTGAGATCTCATATTCAAGGCCAAGTTTAAAAGGAAAGCAGTGGCTTCTCTGCTCTTTAAATTGTGGACTGAACTCCAGAAATCTACCAAAGCAAGGTAGAAGACCAGTGTTTGGGAATGAATTGTGCCACCTGACATCTAAAAAGTGGCAGAAAAGAAGGTGGTTATGAGGCAGAGAGGAGAAATGGCCACTTCTTCTCCTTCCTCTCCCTTTGACCTCTGGTACTGCATGACTAGGAATCTCAGCTGGGGAAGGATGCCCAGGGAAATGCAGGAAAAGGAGTGTGGCCTTCAGGAGCCAGGTTAAGTAAGCATCTTTCTCCCATCTGCTGCTTCTCCCTCCCTCCCTCTATTTTTCAGACATTCAGGGGGAAAAAGTGGATTCTAAGCATCAAGCTGGTCCTATGTTCTTTACATTCTTTTAGTTCTCCAGTTCCCTAATCATGCTAAAACCAGCTCTCCTTTAGCTGTGCTGTTGCTTCTTTTTCTTCAGACAAAAACAGAATGAAGCCCAGATACCTGTTCACAAATTGCTCCGGTTATGGTGACAGGGAAGAGACGGACTGTCCCGCGACCCAGGTTCTCTCGCTTTCTCTGCTGAGAAAATAACTTCAGCTCTTTTGCCTCTTCTTCTTCCAAGGAGCTGCAGTATTGAGCCTGGACAAATAATTTCCAGGTCAGTGGAGGAGAGAAAAGAAAAGGATCAACCAGGAAATACCAAAAGCAGTTATGTCATGATTTCTTGCACAGATGTCTCTGGGGCAGGGGGGACTGTTTCTGTTCCAGGGGGCATTCAGCGTATGTCCCCAAACAGAAAAGACAAAGAAGTTCCAATACACCTCCAGTGTAATTAAACTGAAACCAGACTTGGCCAGATAACTCTCATTGTGGCCCCATAACTGAGACAACTAGATCTGAGAAAAAACTAAAGAGTGAAGCCTGATGGTCTTGCACCCTCCCTCCTGTTGGTGCTATTTAAAAAAAACATATTAAATACATTAACACATTTAATACTATCATCTAATTTTGCCCTAAGACTTCCATTGGTCCAGGGGTGTCACTCCTACTGGTTTCTCCACATGTTCAGCAGAACAAAAACACACAAAATAACTTTTTTTAGAAGTGCAGCACAGATTGCAGAAACAAAAAACAACTTTTCCATGTTTTAGAATCAACTAAAGGCACTGTGGCTCCCACACCGAAATACAAAACATCACAAGAAATGGACAGCAGCAGCTTTTGGAGGGCATTAAGTGATCCCTGAAACTTCAGTGGATGGAGATGTGAAAGGGATTCCCAGGCATGTTTCTCGCCTTTCCAACTGGGAAGGACAGCTGCATGTAGAGAAGTCCCCTTGCTGGCAGGGAGGGGAGCTGGGGCTAGAAGCTCTCCTCTGCTATTTTACAGACACAGATTTGCATCCATAAAGTGGGCACAAACTGATATAGGGTTTGTCTACATGGGTTCCTTGGAGCAGCTGGAATGGACTAAATAGGATTGTCAGACGTTGAGTCAAAGTACAGTGTGCCATTTGGTCTGATCTTCACATCCAAATGGCATATGCACCTCAAGCGAGCCTATTTGGGCCAGCTTCTTCTTCTTTAAATTTCCCATATTCTAAAGTGGCTTAAGAAGACAGCCACCTCAGGATACTAGCAAATTAAACACCTCCTCGGCTTCTTTTAAAAGTGTGTATTAGAGCAGCAAATATGCACTGCATTACTTTTAAAACAGCATGAGGTATGTGAATTACCTGTTAGGTATGTGCATTAGGTAGTCAGTTCACTCAGAACTGATTCTTGCTAAAAAATTATACTGTATTAGGGCAGTGCTGATGCACTATATCATGTATAAAAAAATAAAATAAAAATTAAGGCTTCTTTTAAAAATGTGCATTAGAGCAGCAAATATGCACTGCATTACTTTTAAAACAGCATGAGGTATGTGAATTACCTGTTAGGTATGTGCATTAGGTAGTCAGTTCACTGAGTCTTGCTATTTTAAAAAAAATTATACTGTATTAGGGCAGTGCTGATGCACTATATCATGTATAAAAAAATAAAATAAAAATTAAAAACGTCCTCTCAGATTTGGCAAGCAGCCAAATCCACTGCTGGCTATTATTCAGTGCTGCCTTAATATATTGTCTTTTTAAAAAAAGTTTATGTCATGTGATCACTTTAGGAGAAAACTGGTGGCATGTGCAGTCCCTGCTCTCCTGGAAGAGACAGTCTGACACCCCTGGCTAGAAACTGTCCCCTGGCAGTGGGCTCCGCCATCTCATTGAGCCCTGCATGGGGAAACTCCCACATTCCTCCTAGCAGGCCTGTTAATTTCAGCAAGCTGTCTCCTGCTCTCTTATTACAAGAAAGGATAAATTACAGTCCCACAGCTGGTTTCTCCACACTAATCAGGATCTTTATCTGATCCTTCTTTTCCAGTCCTCTTTTGGAGGTCAAGAGCCCTAATCTTTTTTCAATCTCCTCTTGTGTACATACACATGCTCTATCTCTCACTCTCACTCTTCCAGACCCCCTCCATTTTTATGCATCTTCCAGTCGGATGACATTTGCTTCTGAGACAGGGCCCAGAAGGCATTTACAGATACACGGCTTGACTTGAGGGCAATTTCTGGGGTTCCATATGCATCATCTCCATGAACCAAACTGTAGTAACCAAATGCATCATGACCCCTAACCCCAGTCCTTACTGCCCAATTCCTGCTCATATTACTCCTGACATTGACAAGCCCCTCCTCCACAGATGTCTTTTCTCTTTTTCACATGGGGGGACCAGCCCTCCGCTTGCGAAGGCAGACCATAGTGAAAAGGTAGAATCACAAATGCAGTTCTTGTTAGCACTTCCCGTCTGAAACTGCACTTGTTTTCTACTCCTAATGCACGGTACCAAGGGATTTCACCACCAAGAGACAGAACAACATGACATCTTGTAGAAAACAATAAACAGTAAATCAGGATTATTTGTACTGTATTTTTATGGACATGACAGAAATCTCAGTGCTTTTAGGACATGAGATGAAGCTAGACACGTCTAAATCAACCTCTTAACAAGACCAAAACAACAAAAGCATCAGCAGTAACAAACAGAAAACATCAACCATTCACTAGGTCATTCAGCAGCCTACGACAAGATGGGCAACCATGCAGCCTTCAGCGTAATTTCATGAAGCCCAAAGTACAATTTCTGAAGCCTGGAGATAATGTTATTATTGCAGGAACAATCTGTCCCTCTCAAAGCAGCAAAGGATAGAGGAAGGAAGGAAGGAAGGAAGGAAGGAAGGAAGGAAGGAAGGAAGGAAGGAAGGAAGTACTACATTAATAAACGCCATTTCTGCATCCTGAGTATACATCAGTTTGCCTTCCTGTTACTCATCAGCCTTTGCTCAAAAGTGTATGTGTGAGATAGTGGTGGTAGTTTGCTATTAGCATGTTGTGTAGCCCTGACATAATATCAATTTTCCTGTCCTGAGAGAGCAAATTTTCAGGAAGCCCAGAAGGAGAAGCCATTTATCTACACTTGTGATACCAGGGAGTAATTGGGAAAATGCACCAGATTGAGCCTCATCTCTAAAGAGCACTTAGCCTAATGATTAATCCAACCCCCTGAGAGTAAGATATGCCAACAAACTGAGAAGGATGGGCAAAAGCCCTTAACACAGAAACCTTCATCTGATTTGATCCTGAACGGAAGTGAGCTTTCTGTTCCTCATTCCCCCCCCCACACACACATGCACTGCTAAGACGGCCTCCATTCTGCCATGCTGTACAAGGATATAGTTCCCCACACACACATGCACTGCTAAGATGGACTCCATTCTGCCATGCTGTACAAGGATATATTCTGAGGACTTAATGATTTCTGTTTTTGAAAAAGCAAGCTTCAAGCCCTTATTAAGCAATGCTTAAGGAAAAAGCCAAATTGAGGGGGCAAGGTTTCAGTGCTCTGCCTTCCTCCTTCCTCCATCTATGATTTATTTGAAGCAGATGGTTCCAAGAAACATCGCTTAGAAGGCATCGGGCAGCTACTCCATTCTTCTCCAGAATAGACTTATTTTCCTGTTAAGTAAAAAAGACTGAACAAGCAGCAAGAAAAAAACAGGAGGATTACACATGGAAGAGTCCATTATTTAGACTCTCCTGCACAATTCTGCGAATGAGGCAGATTTACTGCATGACATAAACCTTGTCAGTCAGCCCTCTAAGGCAGCAAAAGCAAAGTTAGTAATCCAAAGCAGGAAAAACAAAAAAAAATTATGCACTACAGAATGCACCCTATTCTGCTGAGGAGAGGGGGGCAAATTAACGGACAAACACAGAATAAATAAAGTCCTTTGTGCATTTCACATAGCCAGCATAGCAAGTGGCAAGAATGATGGACATCTTTCCATGGTGATTATCAGCACTGCCATATGTACACACAGATTAACCTCAATTATCCCAAATGCAAACAAGGATGACAGGATTGCACAATATGCACACCAAGCAGAATGCACTCCCGGGGGACTGAAGACAAGAGGACAGCAGCTTGAGCAGGTGAAAAGGCAAAGACCCTCAACTTAACAAAACGCCAGGGGGGAGGGATTACACCAGATAAACCAGCATCAGGACATTCATTTCTGGCACTGATGACAAAAATGTCTTTCACCCCCTTAGAATTCAAAATCTGGACAGAACATCCAGAGACACAAAAGGCCTGAGAAGGGAAGTGGTTGGATCGACACTGGGAGAGAAGCTGTCTCTCTCTCTCTCTCTCTCTCTCTCTCTCTCCTTCCAAGAATCTCAGCAGGAACTTTGCAAGTAGGAATTGAAAGGAGGAGCCGCCTAGAAGGTCACACCTGCCGAGCAAGAAAGTGGAGTAAGAAAAAAAAAGTGAAAGGGGTAAGAACCAGGCCAAAAGAACCAAAGACTCAGACCCAAAGACTTGCCAGCATCCCTGCTATTTGATCTACAGAGCAGGCGAGGTACAGAGGACAGAGTGCTAGTCATGGACTTGGGGAGACCTGGATGCAAATCCTCACTCAGCCATGAAACTCACCAGATGACCAAAAGCCAATCACACCGGCTCTCATCCTGATCTACCTCGCAGAGTCGTTTTGGAGATAAAACTAGGGAAGAGGAGAGCCCTGCTTGCCTTGAGCTCTTTGGAGAAAAATCAGGACATAAATGTAGAACATAAATAAATAATACAGATTTACTCTGGGCAGAAAATCTTGTATATCCTACAGAGAGCCCTGCTGTTAATGACATATTCAGCTGCCAAAGTGGGGCTAGGGAACTGTGGTGAAAGGGCAGGGACAGGGGCTAGTTCAAGGAGTCGGCAATCAACACCGCTGCATTCACTGGGGTGTGGGCCGCACCCACACAGACATTATGCCTACTGACTCCCATCTGCCCAGAATGCAGTAATGTGGTTCCAACCAGCCCCCCTCCCTCCTCAGAAGCCTTCCTTCTTTTAACATCATCAGGCACAGACTCCATTTTAATGCCAAAAGGTTTATTAGTTGCACCATGCATTTGTTCTTTCTTTTCTTCAATAAAATATAAACTCAAAGTTTCCCTTTTCGGGTTCCATGGTTCCTGTTTAACGCTCTCAGAACCCGTCTCTTCATTTTTAACCAACCAACTGACAGGCAACAACAGGTTTCCAACTAACAGCGTGAAAATCACATCAACAGAGATCTACTTGTGAGAAATCCATCCCACCTCAGGTTCCCAAACCTGTCAGCCCAGGTCTTTGCAGACTGCGTGGAAGCTGGATCTTCCCAGGAGAATTTTCTATTTTCTATAATTTTCTCCTGTTCTCCAGGGTATTGGTTTCATAAACAAATCCCTCTCTCTCTTTCCTGTTTCCATCCAATATGGAGGTTCTCTTGCCAGCTTCTCTCTCCACTCCCTCTGTGCTAGCTCTTTTGGCACCTTGAGGGTCACCCACTCTCTGGAATATGGATCTTCCTTCACGATTTGTACCCAGTCCTCTTCTTCCACTGTTTCCTCTGACAGCCAACATTCTTCTTCTACTCCTCCTGGTGCTTCACCCCCCTCTCCTCTCCTTTTACGTTCTTCTCCTTTTGCCAAAACAACCCTGCTTCCGGTTGCTTTTTTCCCCAGACTTTCTAACATCTTGACATTTAAACCATCATTCCCCATTTTGTCCATCAGTTCTTTTAGTTCCGCAGTTGTAATGTCTGTCATTTTCTTAGGAGGAGATGGTACTCCGCCCTTCTCTACTTCTGCCTCACAGATGTACAGAACAACAGATGTGCAGGCTGTTAGGATCTACTAGTTTTTTAGTTTGTTTTTCTTTAAAAAGTAGAGCTCTTAGATTTGGGGGCCCAATCCACTCTCTCTCAGCCTATTTCACAGGGTTCTTGTGATAATGAAGTAGGGAAAGGACAGCCATTTACATCAACTTAAGCTGACTGTATATCACAGCTTTCCTCATTCGGCAAATAAACAGATACAAAGGAACAAATTTCACCAAGCGGCATTCACTGAATTATGAGCCCAGCGACCTGCTGGGAGGACCAGAGTAGTACTGGGTTTCAAAGTCTTTGCACAGGAAAATTCATTCTTAGTTACCTGATATTTGTTTTTCTTTGTTTCAATAATTTGATTTAGGAGAGAGGAAGAGACATTAAGTTGTTTCTGTCTCTGGATGGCTGAAAAGTCCCACACCTTCACCTGACAGACTGCAGTTAACCCAGAGACCTATCAAGAGCTCCTGACCTACCTTCAGCAAACCCCTGCAGAACAGCCTTAATAAGGAAAGACTGCATAGGAATACATAGGGTTGTTCTTTTTTGATGAGGAATCCAGGGCAGTCGGGAAAACTGCATACAAAGTTCTTATAAATGACATTCAGGCTTGGCTTCAGACCAGGCCCTGGGGAGGTTTTTCTGTAGTTAGCACCATGGACAGCTTTGTAGGTGCCTCTGCCGTTTATACCGAGTGCCTGGATGGTGACAGTGACACATCAGGAGGTGCTCTCAGGAGATCGGACCGGCTGCCACGAGCAAGTGAAGCACAGGCAGTTTCCGAGCTATGTAGGCTCCAAGCCCTCAAGGCCTTTTTGAACCAAGACTAATGAACAGAAATGTGTCCTGACAATCATGGGATGCCAGTGCAGAGACTGCGTCGGGGCTACTGCTCTCTCAGTCAATCACCCACCCAAGCCAGGAGGCAAGACACTGTACTGAAATGGTGAGGCAGTCATTTAAAACATCCATACGCATTGCTGCTTTCTGTGATCATAAAACACTAGAGTGGCCAGACACAAAAGAGGAGGGAATTCCTGCACCTTTAATAGATGTCCTTGGTACCAAAACTACACTATGACAGGTGGAAGAACCCTGTCCTCTTTTGCATCTGCTCGCTCTACAAAATACTGAGCAAAACTGACCAAATCTTAAATAGGTAGAAACGGGTTCTTGATTCTCTTGTGCCTAGCTTTGATCAAGTGGGTTCTCTCCTGCCTAACCTTCTTTAAAATACAGTATAAATATACTCAGAACAATGAAAACAAACAAACAAAACAAAACCCAGTTATCAGTATCACATTGTTAGTCCCAACTACAAGCAGCCTCACTGAAACAACTGCTGAATGACGAGTCAACACTTTTGTAAATCCCACAAAGTGAACAGGTATACTCTATTTGGGACTAGCAGTACAGTACAGACTACTAAAATTGTTTTGAAGCTACAAACAATAAAGCAGCAGTACAACAGAAAGAAACACAGAAGCACACACATCAAATACTGTACCTGTCTCAAGAAAAGCTTTCCAACCCATTTTAAAAAAACAACAGAAGAAGAGTAGTAGTCTGTGTAATCCCCCTAGAAAATAAATTCCGTAATGGTGGTGCCTCTTTCAAAAATGTCTCGCCATTAGTGCTTGTGCATTGAATTTCCAAAGGTAACAAGCCAAAGGACAGGTCTTTGACTGCAGCCACCATATAAAATGGAGCTTGTGAAAATCTGTGTTGTTGTGTGCTGTCGAGTCAATTCTCTTATGGTGACTCTTTTCAGGATTTACCAGGGTAAAGAATACTCAGTAAGTGGTGCCCCGCATAGCGAGGTTAATCCGTTCCGGATTAACCTTCGTTATGGGGAAACATCGCTATACGGAACGGGGAAACCCATTGGAACACATTAAACTTCATTTAATGCATTCCTAATGGGCACAAAACTCACCGTTCTGCGATGTTTCCCCATAGCGGCAGCCATTTTCGCGCCCTCGGTAAGCGAGGGCAGGGCGCCTGAACATGGCTGGGAAACCGGGCCCAGGGCAGCTCCAAGCAGCAGCGGGGGAAGAGAGGGTGGGGGGCTCCGGATGGATTCCAGTGCTTTGCCTGGAAGCCATCCAGATCCCCCTGCCCCCGCCGCCGCTGGGAGCCGCCCCGCCCGCCTATCCCAGCCATGCTGGGACTCCCTGGAACAGCTGAGGGGCGGGTGTTTGAGCTTCAAACCACCGCCCCTCAGCTGTTCCAAAAGGCAGGGGTTTGGGCTGCACCGGCAGAAGCCCTTCTCCCAGAGCAGCCGAAACCGCCGTCTTTTGGAACAGCTGAGGGGCGGGCGTCTGGGCTTCAAACCACCGCCCCTCAGCTGTTCCAAAAGGCAGGGGTTTGGGCTGCACCGGCAGAAGCCCTTCTCCCAGAGCAGCCCAAACCCACACCTTTTGGAACAGCTGAGGGGCAGGCGTTTGGGCTGCTCCCGAAGAAGCGCTTCTCTGCTAGCAGCTCAAATGCCCGACGGTCAGCTGTTCTAAAAAGCGAGCCTTTGGGCTGCTCCCGGCCTCTGGGAGGCAGCTGAAGAACTGATACACCTGTGGGCCAGGAGAGACTTTGATAAATGGGGAGGGGAAAAAGAGGAGGTGCAGCACACCAAATCTTGCAGAGGTTAGACAAGAAGCTCAGCAGTCAGAGCTACAAAAATGCCTCTCTCTCTCTCTCTTTTTTTAAAAACCAGATTCCAGAACCCCTGAGGAAACATGGCCAGGGGTCATACCAGAAGTGCAGGATTCTGGGAGCTGACATTAAAAAAAAGGAACTCTTCCAAGCTATGCCAGTGGCCTGGCAAGAGGCTTTTCCATCCATTCCCTACAAGTTTTCCAGAAGAGCCCTGCTATGCACAAAAGAAAGACTCAAGCAAGAAAGACGAGACCTTGATCAGACCAGCTACAGTTCAACCTGCCAGAAGCTTTAGATCTTTCCAACACTCTTCTTCCAGGATTTCAAGGTATGTGAGATATTTAAGGAGTGGTTTTACAATTACATCCCCAAATCAGTTTCCACAGTTAAGCAGGGATTTGAACCCAAGTCTCCTGTGTCCTAGCCTGTCACTTTGTCCCCTATATATCACACAGGCTGCCTGCTGTGTTCAGAGAATCTCCATTTCAAGTCTTATCTTCTGCGCATAACAATAGGCAGGAAGAAGGAGAGTTCTAAGTCTACCCCCAATCTCTCTGTCCAAAGAGGGAGGAGAGTGGTGCTGTCAGACCCCCCCAAGGAAAACAATGTGAGCTCTTCAGCACAGAAACTGCCTCCCTGTCACTCCTCCCAACTAGGGGCTCTTGGTGTAGCCTCAGAAAAATGCATGCTCTTTTGGTCCAATTACCCTCCCTCTCAGACTTCTGATAATCCTTAAGATAAGAAGTGTAAACACTTTGTACAATGAAAAGTCCTACAGAAAGCAACTGAAAGTGCTAAAGAACTGTTTCTCTGTAATCAGTTTAAAGCAAGAGTTGTGCTAATCAGATTACAAGCAGTCTGGCCTTGCTGAAGTGCTCAGGTTACATAATACATACAGAGAGAGAGAGAATCCCAACTGGTTTATAAATAAATTAACAGAGTCCTCTATTTTAAGCCTTCCTGTCTCTTTATTCTGGAGAATATCCAACTATCAAAGTTACAATCAGCAACATAATTAGATAGCATTTCAAAAACAACAGTACTTTTGCGCATTTCTGCCTGAAATTCTGTACAATTCAAAAAATTCAATTCCAGAACGTAAAGCACTCAATCGGCACTCAGGTCCTTTTTTGGAATATGTTACCCAGAATCTCCCAAACTGGGAGTTGTAGTAGAAAAAAGTAACTTTGATGTTGATTCAATAAATAAAAAGGGGGAGGTACCTCAATAACTTAGTTCTCATCACAATCCATGGGATTTGAAATCACGGCTAATCTGTCCCACCGTGTAAATTGTCTGCATCCAGCCCATTACCATTGTCTGTTTCAAGGGTTATATCTTTGGGAATTGTTGCCATTCACTTCTAATGAGTGGAATGGATGTGGAGAGAATCAAGATTTTGAAACTGAGAAAGCGTTTGCGTCAACAGGAAAATCTGACCTTTTTGGGGAGCATTTATACAGCAGTTTCAAATAAGATCTCTCCACTGAAAGTTCTTACTCTCTACAAGGTACAACGCCCCCCTTAACACACAGAGTCCATGCCAAAAATGACTTTCCTCATCTAGGGATCATACAGAAAGCAATCTAGCTGATTGCTGCCAGTGTTGGAGTAAGTGTCAACTAGAAGTCCAGCTCCTGGGCAGATGCCTTCTTGTCTGGGGCAACACTATTTGCTACAGAAGCCCCTTGAGAATCTCTCTCTGACCCCTAAGACTGGATGACTCAGCAATTGCAAAGCTGAGGTAGAACTTCGTACAGGCAAGGGATATCTGCACCTTCTTCCAAGAGAATCCTCTTACATACATGAAGGGTTCCTTCTGTAGAGGATGCCACAAGGCCACTGTCATCAACAGGCTTAAGGTGTGAGCTAAAGCATCAAGACAAACACTGTATCTAGTCACCCAGGCAGCTAAAAATCTCCCAAGTCAGTAACTCTGTTGCTCAGTTTCGCTTTCAAGGTGGCAATTAAGAGGTGGAAGCCCTCAAGGAGCACAGCTGTCCTTTAAAACAAGGTGTATCCTCCGTATCTTCTTTGTCAAGGGGCTGGTGAGGTGAGGGTGGAATCATAAGTGAACTACTGTATTAAGCACTCCTGGTTTCAGGTTTGAGGGGGAGTGCAGCCTATCGGTTAAGGTGCTCCCCAGACCCCTGGAACTTACCCTTCTCCCCAGCTATAGGGTCAAAGCAGAAGCAGAGGAACTGAGGTTCAGTTTGCAACTTGGCTTATAATGTTTATTGGGTGACCTTGGTCCAGCCCCGAACAGTATCTCCCAACAGCCCTAGATAGCACAGCCAATGACAAGGGCTGTTCAGAGTTCATCAACATCTGGAGGGCCACTCATTGTGACCCCTACCCCAGAAGATCTCCCTGAATAGCCCTGGAGGCCCTGGAGTTCGGCCATCCAAAGACTCACCTGCAATACCTATTGGGTTGAGCTGCCTCTGTTGTGCAGTTCTTTCCTTCTTTGTGTGAAGGTTTAAAATAACATGAGCTGGAAGGTCCCTGGGGAAAACATGGAGCTCCGGACATGAAGGTTCAGGGTGTGCATCTCAGTTATTTATTACAGTCAGACACCTGTCTCTGCTTACAATCAATGTTAAGAAACAAAGAAAACAGCTTGTGGCACAATAGCATAAAAGCTATTATTGTAATCTTAGATGATCACATTGTGACTGAGGGTGTAGCAGTGTTTCTGGGCCAGGAAGACCCAGAGGGGTTCATAGGAATGGCATCCTTTTGACTTACTGGGCCCCGAGCCACATACTATTTCTATTGTCAGCTCCCTGCCCTATTCTGAAATCCATCAACTACTTGCTTTCTTTCCTCTGTTACTTCCTCCAAATGATAAAACTACATGCTGTGTAATTGTGATTCTGAACCTCAGTCTGTGAACCTGTATTTAGAAAAAATAAACAGGTTTAACAGTCATCTGCTGACCCTAAGAAACATGGAAACAGTAGTTTGGCAGGGGCTAATAAAGATCAAGAAATGTTCCAAACTACACTCCCAGATTTGCCAAGGGGTGAGGGTGGAGGAGCCATGGCACTTAAACTAGCACAAAACTTCAAAAATACAAAAAAAGCACCTGTTGGGAGAGCTAATGATAATACTAAGGATTGCAACAGATGAGGAAGCAGAATTTAACCCTTCCTTCTCTTACTAGGAAAATCCTTCCTCTGCAAGATTGAACCAGAAGAACCCAACTCGCCCTTGCCACTGGCACCATAGGCATCATCACCTGCTCAGGTTTGAGTCCTGGGGGCACCCAAGCATACTCCTCCGAGGCACAGCCCGAATCATCATCTGAGATGGAATGGCGCTGGAAGTCAGAGATGAGGCGGCACATCATCCTTTCCAAGTCAACAGGCACCATGCGCACCGCATGCTCCTCCCGTGGACACTTGCAGTGTTGGCAGATCTTCCTGAAGAGGAAAGGAAATGCTTACAGTGAGTCATCCCTAAAACAACTATTGATGAACAAGTCACCTTGGACAGCTCTATTATTTCCAAATGATCAAGAAGCAGTCCTGTTTGATCAAAACCTTTTGCCAGAGTGGGAAATTTTTGGGTTAAAACCTGCTAGCTATGCAATGGAAAGTTAAAGGACCACAGAGTAGAATTAGCTTCAAGTCTCCCCATGGCAGACTACACCTTACTGCTTAGTCCTCCTTAACTGGCACTTACTGTCTCAATAACTCACTCAGAGATACTGGTAAGAGTAAGAATAAAAAGTTTCCATTTACTCACAGTTCTGAATCAATTAAAAAAGCACATATTGTAGAAAAATAATAATTGGTTACACAAATAGAGCTTAAATAATTCATAGCTTCATAACTAGCTACATGACTGACTAATTACATAACTCTAAGTGGACACTGACTCCTGACTGAAAAAGAGACTGAAATAGAGACATGACTCTCTTCAAAATCTGAGACAGACAGAGAACAATTGGTTGCTGCTGGACTGACTGACAGCTATTCCAACCAAGAAAGGTCTCTCCCAGCCAAAACCTCTTAAAGGCAGCATACAAAAGTTGCAAATAATTCCAGCCAAATCCACACCAGCCAACATTGAGGATGACAGGAACTGATGTCCAAAAATTTCTGGAGGGTTGTACAGTCCTCATTCCTGCTATAACACAACAGCAAGCGCTGTTGTGCCACACTTCTAATCCATTTATCATGTCCTAAAAGATATTAACAATGGGTATTTAGTAGCACATGAGAAATACCTAACATGCACCACCATGCACATAAATATATTCACTCCTAGATGTAGATGTTCATACCACTGAAAAAGATAATTAACCTGCACACAAGCAATGCAGAGGGGAAAGTGAACATAATAAGCTACCTAAATGTATTCAGACATGGCAACTAGGAGGCAGCTAAAAAGAAACACTGCTAATTAATTCTAATCCTTTATCATCCTCTGTCCTAACTCTCAGCTTTTTTTTTTTTTTGTATCTCCACTATATCTATAAGTCAATGCAAAGGTTACTCAGCTGGAGACCAGGACAGGACTAGAACTTTTCTTGAACATGAGAAAGCAAAGGCATTTTGAAACAGGCCATGTCTTCTTCCCAACCCCTCTTGACTTGTCCATCACGAGAGTCATTCCAACCCCACAAGACTGAGCAATCGGGACTGAAGGTGTAGGATGAAGAGCCCAAGGCCCTGTGCTGCCCAAACATGATGCAGTCACTGGCTCATTAAAGATGAAGGGGGCGGGGGAGGCTCCCAAGCTCCCCTTCCTGTAGAGCATTACATATCTATGGGTTGCAGACAGAGAAAGAAAGGCAAGGTTAATAAGGCAGTGGCATAATGTATGTGCGCACGCATGGAAATGCAGAGGCACACAGAGTGGGGGCTGATGATGATGAGAAGGCAATAAATGATGGAAAGAGACAGGAAGGAAAGATTCTCTTTCACCCTACTGCTTTTCTACTGCAATGCCTATTTAGAAACATGGCTGAATGTGAAAGAGAGGAAGGGATGAATCTGGGAGGGATGCGTTTAAAGCAAGAAAAAAAGGGGGGAAGAATTTGAAAAGAGAAGCAAGAAGCAAATAAAATCTACACAAGCATACAAAGAGAATCTACAATGACAGGAGAAAAGATGCAGAGGGTTAGGGCTAACATTTTTATATACTGTACATAGATTTCTTTTTCAGAGTGCTGGAGGGGCATTGGAGAGGGTACTAAGTACAACATGTCTAAAACTGACATGAATCATCAAAAGAAAAAAAGGAGTGCAAGGCATTAAAATCAACAAGAGGAAGAAGTCAGAATGAATGGAAGGGAAGGAGGGTGGGGAGGGCTGGGCCATGCCATGCTATGCATGGTGACTCAGAGGCAAGTCCCACCACCTTCAACAGGCCACAGCCTCAGAGAGAAAAAGAAAGAGGGAGGGGATGGGGACAGGAGGGAGAGAAAAGAGGGAGAAAGAAATACAGGATACAGCAAGTCATATGGGCCCAAACGGATTGGGAGTAGTGGCAAGAATAATTACACAGAGGATGAAGGGAAACTTGGTGGTGTGAGGGAGAGGTCAACACATTCTCCTACCTCCATCCATGCACTAGGAAGCCTGGACACTGCTCCCCACACGCCTGACACGGCTGGCCCCGGTCAGGGTCCTCCACCTCAGGTAGCTGGTGAGGGAGAGAGAGGCAAGAAATCAGCCACCAAAGACTTCAGCAGCACCGGCATTCACAATTCCCCCACATCACCAACATGGCAAGCCTGCTCCCATCCTACACAGCACGCTCCTGAACTACGCCGGCACCCGCCCATTCTCCAGATCTGTATCACCGGCTTTGCCAGATCAATCGAGACACTATCCTCAGTACTTTGCCAACCCACTTACCATCAACGTACAACTACTGTCAGCACCTCAGTCCACAAAAATATTGCCAACAGCATCACCTGCACCTGTTGGTCAAGAATCCTGTATGACCAGTCCCAACAGCCATTGAACAGTATCGCTCACCAGTTCCTGCTGGCCATCAACTGCCAATACCTTTAAACAGGGCTGTTACAGTGCAATATAAATGCTTACAAATCCAAACGGGGCCTCTTCTTGGAAAACAGACCTGAAGCCTGCTCCTAAACCCGAGACAGCACCTCCCTTAACTTTGGAGACATTTTTACAAGGACCCTGGTCTGTTGCCATAGCGACACGTACCTGTTCCAACATGGGCAGGTGCTTGTACAGCAGCAATATAGATTCTGTCCCAGTGACTTCCCTGGTCAATAATGGCAACGAGAGGTCTATAGCCATTTGTGGGCAAAATCTGATTTCCACAGGCTTAGAGACGTTTAAGGAAAATTAATTTTAGTTTGGTACTGAGAAGGAATTGTGGGAGAACCACAACTTCATTCGGGTGCTGGAAGCCACCCGCAAGCCACAACCTGCCTCAGCTGAGTTCAGCACAGCACACGTAGGCCAGACGTTGGCCTCCTGCCACCACTGGTAGCTAAGAAAAGTGGGCAGGAAAAAATGTCTGGTTCGAGATTTTGGAGGGGCACAGGAAAGAAAAGTAGAAGTGCTCTGACGGTTGTGACTTCGCATAGACCAGGAGCTTTCCCTATCTCTCCCTCTTTGTAGCCTTTCATCCATTTTGTGTCTTCTACAGAGATTTCATCCTGCCTACAAACAGCTAAGAAAAAGGAAGAAGGGATAGTATTCTAGGAAAGAGGAGCAGATGGTGCCAGGAGCCGCTCCCACTTCTCGAAAGGCAAAAATCACTGAAGCAGTTCCTAGAACAGGGCAAAAGGAGGAGTCATTCCCCCCCCCTTAAAAAACCTGGCGAACAAAATGACAGAGATAAAATTTAATGAATCAAGATGGAAGGTGCAGACATAGTTAACAGATTAATTATTCCCTCATCAAAGATCAAAATGCCAGCATTAACATAATTTTATATTTTGTTTATGCTTATTTTAAAAATTCCAAGCTATGTTCAGGAATGTAAAGACTGTGTAAAACAAGTAAAATAAATCAACAAACAAAGACCAGGAGAGAATTTAGCCCTTCAGGTTCACTGCCAGAAAACAAATACATTAAGCAAACAAAAAAAGGGTACAGTACTTGAAAGTTTGCTTTACTAGATTCCTGTTCTTTGTTTTTTTTTAAACTGTGTCCTTCAAAGAAGGAAACAATCTGCACATGCTCAAAGACACTGTCCTTATATTAACTTTTAAAAAGTTATTTGTCATCAGAAGAGAAAGACAGTCAACCTAACCTCAGACTATCACTGGATGATTTTTTTTTTTTAAACTGTTCAGGGAAAGGTGCTCTGACATACATGATCAGAGGTGATACACACAGAGAGAAGCAACTACCACTAGCTATACTTTCCAGGATGTCCTAACTGAAAGAGACAAAACAGAATCCAAAACTTATTATGTGGCATTAGATAGAATGCACAGAATCACTGTCCAAAGCACTGTGATTCCGTTTTTCTCACATCCACCAACTGCTGCTGTGGCTAGATAAAAGTATCTTTCCTCCGACCTGCAGCTGAGAAGGAATTTGGGGTAAGGTGGGGTGGGAGCATCTATTTCATTAGATGCGGCTTTGAAAAAAATCACATCCACTGGAGCTGATGTAATGCTCTCGCTTTAACACCATTTCATACGTGGGACCCACCACATGTGCCCCTTACACTTTCTCCCACACACTAGCTCCTCCTTAATCTAGAATCCCTTCTGCCAATCCTCCCCCTTTCCCAATGGCCCAGCATGACCTAGAAATGCCTTCAATAATCCTGCTGTTAACAGAAAGAAAAATACTACTGCTGATCCATTACTACAGGATTTGGGTATATAAAATTCCCAATTACTGCATCTCCAGCGTGAATCAGGACCTGCGGAGAAAGAATCTTAGTGATTTCTTGCTTACTTTCTGCACACACACATTGCCTCCTTAATCCTTGTCCTATTTTGTTTCAGAAGTTTAGATTCCCACCAGCTATGAAAATCTACCACCAAACTGCACATCTTTAAGAAGAAACAAAATATGTAAGAGATGAGACAGGATAGACAGCCAAGCACAAGTCTTCACAGAAACACAAAATGTTCGGACCTAACTCGGATTGCCCTGCAACGGGAAAATCAGGCCCACTGGTACAGTCAGAGACTTAACAACTACATCCTCATTTACCCCAAGTGACAGGCATGAAAGCTTGGCCCCACAGTGTTTGTCTGTCTATCCACACTCTCTCGTTCCTTACATTGCATCGTCACAAGCTTCTCATCCTTAGCATTAATGCTCTCCACAGGACAATCCCACCTTATTCTGATGCCCAGGTACACTCTTGCCTGTACTCTTCACTCCCTCCACGTCAACCACGGTGCTGCCAAACTGTTACCTGTTGCTCTTTGAAATGCCACTGCCCACTCTCTCTTGTGGGCCCCTTAGGCAGGGAACTGCCAGAACACCTGTTGCCACCTCTCTCCCTGTTCCTTCAAACTCCTCCTCTTCTATTAAGCCATTGGATTAACTCCTCAGTCCTTGGTCCCAATGAAAAGGAAGACACAGTACTCATAATAATATGTGTACATTTATACCATATTAGCCTCCTCCCTCTGAGGTCTCTCCATCCCCACCCCACCCTACGCGCATCCCTTAGGTCAATAGTTGTATCCTACTTTCCTCCAAGTAAGGGCCTGAGTAAATAATTATGTTGCTTCTTACTCATTTAGTGCCATCAGCATCCGTGGCGTTTGACTAAGCATATACTAAATGACATGGTACAGCACACACTGTTTCTGTCCCTGCAAAACCCAACATCAACCACTGCTTTAAGTGTCAGGTGCATGGGAGTGCTAAATATCTTCAGTGAAACAGGAATTAGGGAGAAACCCTCTTCTCTCTCTCCCTACTTGAAGTCCTGCAGCAACTAGCAAAAGTGGACTGTATTTCAATGTACATCAAAAAGACTAAACAGGAACCAAGAATTCCTAGCATGCTATATATGCAGTACTAGTACAGTGGCACCTCGCTTGACTATGTTAATTCGTTCCAGCGAAATCGTCAAACGAAATTTTAAAAACCATTGAAACGCATTGAAACCCGTTCAGTGCATTCCAATGGGCTGAATACCTGCTCATCCAGCAAAGATCCTCCATACAGCGGCCATTTTCGGTGCCTGTAAAGCGAGGAATCCGTCCTAGAAAACAGCGGGGGGCCATTTTCTTCAGCCGGTGGCCATTTTGAAACCCGACGATCAGCTGTTTGCTGATCATCGTAAAGCAAAAATCGGTTCCCGAAGCAGGGAACCCATCATCGTTAAACGAAAAAAACCATTTAAACCATCGTTTTGCTATCGCAAAAACCTAATCGTACAGCGATTTCCTCGTTAAGTGAGGCACCACTGTATTCTGGTTCAGTTCATATCCTTGTGTATACCTATACCCAAAAAGTACTTTTCCTTGACATACCTCTAAACACAGGGCACTTTCTGAAAACTACTTGATTGCTGATAATACAGCTTCTATGTAATCAGCACTTTGATTATTACTGGAGTTACTAAGCCTGTGTCACTTTGAAAGTTCATTATCTTTTTTCCCCATCCTACACATCCCCATCCCACAATCTTTTACTCTTGTGTCTATTGACTTGTGGCCTATCTCTTATGTTCCATGTATATGAGGAAATCCATAAAAGCCCACATTTACCTAGCAGGGGAGATACCAAGATCATGAAGGTCATTTTCCCAGGGTAAGGTCCCTCCATTGCCCTCAGGAGTGTTGACCCCCAGCTATTTTGCCAAATGTATGAAGACCGCATAATTCGTAGCCATCTTCAACAGGTTTTGTTGTTGATACATGCCATCAAGCCACCCAGCGTATGGCAACCCTATAAATGAGTGACCTCGAACTTTTAACACATGAATGATTATTAATCTTTAAGGTGCCACAGGTGTTTTATTATTTATACTTTATAGATCGGGGACCCAAAGAATCTTTCACAAGCCCTGAAGCAGACCCCAGGGCATCAAAGCCTGGAATTCCCTAGTAAGCTTCTACTGCTTGCAAAGTTATCAGCACCTGCGTACATCACACTGCTCTGCTTAGAGTCTTCAAGATTCTTTCTCATAAAGACTCGAGAGTTCCTAATGTCAATATACAGTATCAAGAACATAAATATATAACAGATATAAAACAATTGAGGCAATGGTTGTTGTGGGTTTTTCGGGCTCTTTGGCCGTGTTCTGAAGGTTGTTCTTCCTAACGTTTCGCCAGTCTCTGTGGCCGGCATCTTCAGAGGACAGTAATACATAGCAAGTTTAAGTTTATTAGAGCAAACACTTTCATAACTTAGTTGCCTCCTAGGCCTACAGAAAAGGGCATCATGTTGTTTGAACTCAGCACACGGATAGTATCCACAAGTGAACACTTGATTGTTAGTCACTGTGGCACACAAAGATGCGGATGCATGTAACAGACAAAGCCCTTTGTAGCATCTTTCAGATACACAGTTGTATTAGTGAGAGGCTTTTGTGGATTACAGTCTAATTCTTCATACATAGGAATATGGCACCTTTGGCCAGTCTGCTCCAACAGATGTGCTGGTGGAGTGCAGTTCCTGTCACCCACTTATTTGCAGGCAACAAGAGCTGCGATAAAATTTATCCAGAAGACACTGCCTTACAGCTAGGCTTGGAGTTGTTGGTTTTGCCATAGTTTTGTTGCCGTTGACTTGCTTCTGATTCATGGCAACCCCAATAAGGTTTTCAGGACATATGAGATATTCAAGGAATGGTTTACCACTGGTCTCTTCCTGTGAGTTTTCATGGCTGAGAGAGAATTTGAACCCAGATCTCCTGAGTCCTAGTCCAAAACTCTGTCTCTGACATTGCACTGATTCTCATCTCACTCATGCAGAAGGGACATAATCTGCATTCTAGAAAACTGACTAAAAGTGACCTGACTTAATTCTTGCATTACCTTCCCCCTCCCTTTGTGAGAATCATTATGGTCCAGAGACTTCTTTCAAACCTGTTAAATTAACACAGTTAATGTGTAGCTAATCCAGCCCTCAGAATGCATACTTTCCAAAAGCATCAGAAAGGCCTTGCTGAGGAGAGCAAGTCCACCTTCCTACCATCCACAGCCATCTTGCTCAATGGATGGCCTGATTAGGATGACATGACTGGTACTCCAACACTTGCAAACACCTAGCCATCAGTTTCCATTTTCTCCTTCACATCCATCCTGGCTTTATGGGACTCTGTTCCATAATTCCCAATTCAGGGCCCAACTGAGGACATCAACAGC